CTCCCGAACGCGGCAGCGACGGCGAGCGGTTCTGTACGCGGGATTTGAGGACCCTGGCACAGTGTAGCTTCCCTTAGTGATCTTTCACAGCCTCTTTAGGAGTAGACACGGCGTTTACGAGCTGCAAACTGAAGAGGCAGGGTCGGCCTCTAGCAAGGTGCAATACTTCTACAGGAAAAATAGAGCTGAGGAAGCTGCGCTGCGTAGGACGTGGAATAACTTCCACAGCCTGGTGCTTGTTATGGAAAGGAAGGATAAAACAGGTGCTCCCTCTCTGACCGAGTAAAGGAAAGTAGGTTGATAGTTCATTCTTCTCCAAACTTGTTCTTGTTTACAAATGAGCTGATTTTCTGTTTCTGGAAGACTTGGTCTCCTGAGGCTATTCTTCTTTTAACACATCGAACGTATCTGACTTAGAGGATTTGACGTGGCTGATGTGTTATGGTCCTGAGCAAACGAGAAATCAAACCTGATGTGGAATCAAGAAAAGTAATATGCAGCAATTAGAGCCAATTTAGAGCGTTAGGATGCAAAAAGTTTTCCCCCTATATACATTGTCATGCTGAAAACCGTCTGCCTCGCTTTTTAATGTCAGTACTGTGTGAGTAAACTTCCATGTTTAATAAAAAGTGGAAATAACCGGTGGATTTAAAAGTCATAGTTAATGAAACTGACTGAAGTTTTATAACAACATCAGAGCTGTACTTTTAAAAATAAATTCACAGTGGTATGAAATAGTTTAAAACTTGAATTTATGTAGCTAAGAAAATTGGAGGGTGTAAGACGGCTCTGACACCTTAGTTGGCTGTTGGAACTGATGGTACTTTTGCTGAGTGCAGTCATTTTGGTGGAATCTGTGTGGTCAGTGACCTTGCAGAAACTGAAAGGAATAAATGTGGCTGCAACTTTTGAATTTCTAGCAGTACCAAAATATAATAAAAAATTAAAAACCGCAGCCACAAAGCAGAACAGTAGGGATGCTGACAAATTGAGTGTTACATAATGCAGCAATGAGGTAGCGGGCTAATAAGTAGGTCCGGTAACACTGATGCAGAAATGGCCATGCAGAAATAATGAACCAGAGTAAAATGTTTTAATGCATGTTTTTCTGTAATATGGAAGATACTGTCATGCTACAGGGTTCAGTAGAATGCTAGCTATTTTTAAGCATTGTTGGATGCTAATTTTAAAAAGGTGTTTTGCAGATTAATTGTCTGCATACTCATTAGTCTCCATATGAGGAGAAGAAATAGCACCTGTTGGTGCTGAATAAAAGGATCTTGCATTAACGTAGTGTTCAAATTAAGAAAATTATTGGTTTAAAAATTCATTACAGTAGTAAAAAGAATTGGCAAATATATAAAGTAATTTAATACTTAGGGCTAGAATTAACTTTTGCAATAACTGTGTGTAACTATCTAGAGACATTGTTTGGGTTTTATGTTTAATATTCAAATAATGATAGGTACATTGACTTGTGGGATGCACTTCATTGTATTATGAATACCAATATATGTCTAGTGTTGTGAAGAGATTCCTTCCCATTTTACATGCCTTGCTTGTTTGTGCCCCCTGTAAGCTTTTTGAAGCCTTTGCTTTAGGATAAGCACTGGCTC